TGTATAATTCTCTCAAGCTTGTTCTGTTTTCTGCAGGAGAATTTGAGTGCTATGGCACGGTTCACGATTAGCAGGTCGTTGCTGACCCCGTGCAACTTGGTGCTGGCTGCGATCATGATCTGGCTGAGCCTCTCGATGGTGGCTGATGCCGCTGAGAATCGTTCTTCTGTATTGAACGCGATGACTGGTATTCTTTCGGACAACGAGGTCTTCCTATGATGCTCTTGTATACCAGCCCAGGAGTATTGGAGTGCGATATCAAGATGTACTCCAGGACTCCTGGGCTGTTATCTAAGTCAAACATGAGAGCGGTCCTTTGGTACTTCAAGGGGCCGTCGAAGACGAAATTCAAGTTCGAGACATTATACTTGTTTTAAGCCGTGGAGCCCAACTTCGTTTGGACAAATACGCTTCTACAGTTTGAGTTACTTTGAAAAAGATCGTTAGATTGCGTATATTTCTGCTGAAGCATTTGGACATGGAATAACACTTTTGCATTGAAATTTCGCAATTGTATACAGCTGATTGTAATAATTGTGTATGTGATAATAACGACTTTGAAACTTCTCTCATTTCCAATTTCTTAACTCTGTTAAGGAACAACGGGACTGTGGATGGGAACGATGGTTTCAATGTACAATTATACTGAAACCACCGTCAACATCTTAAGATTTTACAGATTGGCTGTGACTCTATTGTACTAATTAGCAAGGCGAGTGTTTGCATTGAACATTTTCTTATTATGTTCTGGGTGAACGAAGCCAGAAGGGGATCATGTGCATATTTTCACGTTCACGTGTCTGTTATCTATGGCGTGAATTTTCTCTAAACTTGGGTATAAGATTCCAGCTCGTTTTCTCGATCAATTAAGATTCCTGGAAGTGATCGTCGAAACCTTCATTGCTTGAACTTGTGAGCATCATCTGAGGTCCGAGTGAGTAACCCTGCGCAGGGGAGGAGAAGGATGGATTCGGGTGTAGGAGACTCGTGTAGGAGACTCGGAAGTCCAGGTGCTGCAATAGGAGGCGTTAGATTCAAGGAGTCGAAGGAGAATAAGAAATTGGGCCGGAGCCACTTGGTGTGCAGCAGCTTTGCTGCAAATTATAGGTTCGCTTCAGTGTTTTCTTACTCGTAGGTTGGGAAATTGGCCGAAAGTTGATTCTCGACATACGGAAAAGGAGCCTGTGGTCGGTGGTTGTCTGGAGGAGCTGTTTGGGAAGTGACACGATGACGAAGTTCGTTAGCGGTTTGGCTGGATAACACTGCTTCCTGGCGGAGCAGTGGTCATTTTGGATGTGACGCCGATGAACCTAATTTCCAGCATGGAACCTGTTTTCCAGTTCTATGTGAGTCGGCCACCGCACGGATGGACATGCTGAAATTTGATCTCATCTGCCAACTCACTTATTACTGGTGATTAATTGCTCCCAATGACTATGGTTTTACATATTCCATTTTTGACCTACTGATTTTTCGATTTGACGAGTTGTCTGTTAATGGAAGGCTCCATTGCCTTTCATTCAAACCTGATGGGCCTCTTAGTCTCGTGTTGGGGTTCCACAGTACTTCCATCAATTCTCTCCGAATTCCAAGTGATTGCTGGAATTCTCTCTCCTTGATATTTCGTAGAACGCTCGATCATGCTTATAATTGAGCCCCTTATTCTTAGGTTTGGAGTTAAACTTTCACTTGCAAGTCAAAATTTTCTCGTTTGGAAGGACTCATAAAGAGCAGTAGACCAGAAATCCATGTACTTTTTATATCATTTCTTTAACCATATGTCATCAGTCTCGGAAGTTCCTGCAGTTTGCTCTGTTTTTTATTGATCCGCGTTAACTTAGAATCAATTATATGTTGGAAACCTGCATGATCTTTGAAGTTTTACTGGTTGTTTACCTTTTGGACGGAGAAATCATTGCTGAAAACTATTTTCGCTCTACAAAGAGAATGTATGCAAGAATGCCTTGCATTGTAAACCGAATTGGATTAAGGGAGTGGCCGTAAGGAAGACTTGACTAGATTCTACCAAAGAATTCAGACATCAAAGCTATTTTGAAGCATTTGAGTACGGATTCCATTGAAGAGGGCTTCGTTGGATGGTTGACCGTTGAATATTTTGTTTGGCAAAATATTCCACCTCAATAGAAGATTATTGGATTGAAATTCAAAATATATGTTGATTATGTTGCAGACTTCTTCTTTGAAAGATTATTTCTATAAATTTTGAGCATTTATAGAAATAAACTTTCACTAAAACAATACCAGTTACAATATCAAAACATTTGTTATAATGAAATCACATCCATTGAATCCACGAGAGAGCAAGACACTATATAGTCAAATACTATGGATGTGATGACTATATACTCTGAGAAAGATCTATTAAAGTCAACTTGAAAATCATGCATCTTGCCAAAATGTTGAGGCTGAAATTGTACAATGTCAACAATTGAATTGAACTCCATGAACAAGTTGAGAGTATTGTGATTCTTCATTTTCAAACTTGATTTGAAGAAGCAAAACATGTTTAGTGTTGACAAAAAAAACCTTAATTCACATATGTTGGTAATAGAAAGATTGATGATTATATGATTCATGATGTGACACAAGAAAAATCTCATATATTAATGGAGCACATTCTCAAAGAAAATAAAATTAAAGAAGCAAATTCTTGTTGGTGAGGATCAAATATTTGCATCAAACAATAAAGATCAATCAGAATATATTATTGAAGATCATCAAATCTGATCAATAAAACTCCAGTAAGGTATAGATTGATTCATTCATTCTTGAAGACTGTGACATTTATGTAGAAGATTGTGATGGCATTGGATTGATTTTGGAACAATGAGAAACTTCTTCTTACATAAAATCTTAAGCTTTTGTTAATAAATTTGAATAAAATGCTGCTATGATGTGAAAGATGCATTCACTGAGTGATAACAAAACATATGATTTAATTGATCTTTCTAGAAATCAAACTTTGATTGATTGCAAGTAGATGTACAAATTGCAAAACATTCTAACAGATGACAATAATAGTATCTTCAAAGTTAAAATGATGATTAAAGGTTTCAAAAAAATAAAAGTTTTTATCTATAACAAAAATTTTTCACCATTAACAAAATATGCTACAATCTGTTTGATATTTGTTATGTTGTAATATTTAGTATTGTTATGGATCAGATACATGTAATTATAACATTATTTTATGAAATTGTAAAATATTATATCTATATGAGCAAAAAAAGTAAGGAGAAATTAATCTACAAATTGCTGAAATCATTATATGTATTAAACCAAGGTATTAGAAAATTTAATGCAAATTTTGATAACTTTATAAAAACAAAAAATTGTTCACACTGTATATGATATTTGTGTATCTATGGACAATGTGAAAAATGAGATTTTCAATTTTATTTTTCTAGTATTCGATACGAATGATATGACCACCTTGACAAAAAAATCAAATCCATGTTGATATATACAAGAATCAGTTAAAGTCTTTGTTCAAGATAAAAGATTTGGATAAGTACAAGATGATATGAAAGATGTACATTTATAGATATTTGATGAAGAATAGTCAATAGTTGAATCTAAGCAAGTTTGTTCAATGTGTATCTTGCGGGGTTGACATGTCAAACTCGAAAGGAGTATGGATTTCTTTAGCAACACTTTGCAATGTCGAACCGATGTCATTGAGATAATAAAGATGTCATGTGTTCATTACGAAAAAGTTGTGATTATCCTCATATATTTTATGGTGAAGACAAAACCTGATATTGTTATAAGGATGAGCAAAGTGAATAGCTACATGTCTAATCTGTTCAAGTTATATTGGATAGAGTTAACTTGAATTTTGAAATATAAATAATGTACTTATGATTATAATTTATTGTTTGATGATTTATTGAACAATGTTTAAAGCATTGATAAACTACATTGATGCTTATTATGTATAACATTTGAATAAATTAAAATAAAATAAATTTATAACATGTTTACCTTTGGTAGTAGATGCATTAGTTTGACATCTATTTTGCTAAAGTGTGTAACTTAATTTATAACGGAAATTGAATATATAACGATAGTACAAACAACTAAAAAAACTATTGGTTGGATAAGTTTATCAATTAGATGATATTAAAAAATGTGCTTCTCAATCTTCATGGTGATAGACATCATGATTTACATATTGCTCCACATCATGATGTATAACAAAACACATCTATGTCAAATATCATTTTATGAAATATGAAAGTTTTGATAAAATTAATAAATTAATCAATGACAGTAAAATTAATCCAATTAATGTATTGATCAAATAATTTAAATTTTTTTTAATAAAAAATATTCTATTATGTTAAACATGAATAATACATATAAAATTTATACTTTTTTTCGTTACTCTTGTTATTTTATCATATTTGACTACGAATTTGATTTAGTTATTTCTAGTTTAAAAATGATCATTTATAAATATTCATTCTCCGACTTGTTGCAATATAATTATAGACTAAGGAAATTGTTGATCACCAACATGTGCTAGGAGTAATCCAACAATGCACTCGCACACTTTGGATTCAATATACTAAGATTAGTTGGTTTAGGGTTGGGCCCATTGGCTGTGACTCTCTTGTACTACTCATCGTCGCGTATTTTATCTTTGTGTTTACATGGACAAGTATCCTCTGCTTATTTTCATTTCTCTGCGTTTTCTTTCTTGTAAACTTTATGAACATGATATAGACAGTACTTTAACACACCATTATATTAATGATTTCCAGAAAACCAGACAATTTTATGAACATTATATAAATAGTTCTTTAGAAGAAACCATGATAGTTAATGATTTCCAGAAACCAGTAAGCTTTATGAACATATATAAAGACAATAATCTATACCATGTTCAAGTATAAATACTCAATAGAACCTATAACTAAGTGTATGTACAGGGGATATCTATAACAAACGGTACGTGGCATCTAGTCAAAACTCCGAGCCTGTATATTACATTGACTCTTCTGCAACGTGGAGACAAAATCTTCCGAGTGGAGTATAAAATCCTGCAATCATGAATCGTCGTGGAATCTGGCCTTCCGAGGGCTCTACTTTACACAGTCCAATTGGAACAACTCCGTGCAGACAAGGCTGTGCTATCTAGAGGCCCAGCAGCAGTAGCACATGTGTATGGCGGACTCTCGTAAGCCCCGGCTGGACCACGGGGTCCAGCTGGGTGCAAAGCCAGCAGTCACGTGCGCAGCAGTCAGCTCCTGAACGATTCGGTCTATGTCGGTTCGTTGAACACTCCGTATCTACCTTCTTTGAAACGGCGAGCGGAATTCTGCGGATGCAGCAGCCAGCGTCGTGTGAAGGGGATTGTGCTCAGCGTTCCCAACACAATCACGACCCCGATCGCCGTTCCGATCTCGAAGGCCCGCCAAAATGTACCATCCTGGAGCTCGGACCACGGAGCCCCGAGTGTGGCCGAGCTTACGCTTGCGTTGCTGTTTTGCACCACACAAGTGGTCTCGAGCGGGGCCCCGCAGAGCTGATCGTTCCCGGGCTTGAAGGACGAAATGTCGTACCTCGTGGAGAAAGCATTCGCCGTGGGGATCTCGCCCTCGAGGAAGTTGTAGGAGAGGTTCAGATAGCCCAAGCTGGATATGGTGGTCAGCATCGCAGGAATCTTCCCCGTGTGATAGTTGGCCGACAAATCCAGCGACTCCAGACCCAGCAGATCTCCGAACACCTGAGGAATTTCGCCCGAGAAATTATTGTGCGCCAGATTCAAGTACGTCAACCCACGCAGCGCTCCAAGCGCGTACGGGAGCCTCCCGGAGAGAAGGTTGTATGACAGGTCGATGGAGATCAGAGTCGTGAGGACGTACTCGTACACGAGTCGCGAACCTTTGGCATCAATGGAGATTTCATCAAACAATTTCCTCCCCGCCCCCTCGACCTGCGTGGGGTTGTCATTATTGTTGACACTGCTGCTTATCCAGGCGTCGTCTGGTGACGCTTCCAGGCGACTAAAGCCTTCCAAGCCCGAGAGATTGGTCGGCCACACTCCCGTGAACAAGTTATGCGACAAGTCGAGCACTTGCAGCTCCGGAAGCTTCCAGATCCAGCCGGGCACGCTGCCGCCGAATTTGTTGGATGATAGACCCAAAACTCGCAAATCGCGCAACACTGGCTGAGAGTACTCGTAGTTGTCGGGGAGCTCCCCTGAGAATCCATTGCTGCTCAGGTCCAGGAGCTTCAGAGACGTGCAGCTGTACACGCTCACAGGAAACCCTCCGACCAGCTGGTTCCCGTTGACAGAGAAGCTCTCGAGGGATCGCAGCTGCAAGAAGTCAATCTGAGTCACTGTGCCCGTGAGCTCGTTGTTGCTCAGCCTGATGTTTATCAGTGAGCTGCAGTTCGCCAAAGACGCGGGAATGGTTCCCTTGAGGTTGTTGCTGTTGAGGATGAGATACACCATATTCTGCAGTTGCCCCAGCTCTGGCGGGATTCCGCCCGTCAGCGCGTTGACATGCAGGCGCAAATATGTCAAACTCACCAGACCTCCGAACTCCGGGGGAATCCCTCCTGTCAGAGAATTGTTGCTCAGATTGATCTGTTGGATGCTCTTCAGGTCGGCCAAGCTCGTGGGTATGGGCCCCGACAGCTCGTTGTTCTGCAGGAAGAGGATCGTCAAGTTCGACAGCTTGCCGAGCTCGGCGGGAATGGGGCCTCGAAAGTCGTTGTCGTTCAGGAGCAAGTCCTTGAGGTGGGACAGATTGCCCAGCGCTTTGGGGATGAGGCCGGTGAAGGCATTGGTGTCGAGATACAGGTGCTGCAGCAGCGGCCACTGGAGGATGACGTCGTCAGTGAGGGTGCCGGTGAAGGAATTGAAGAAGAGATCCGATATGTGACCTCGGAGGTTCTCATACGTGATGCTCTTCGACCTGTAGCTACTGCCGAGGTTCATATCCGAGAGCAGCGACAGGTTTCTCAGCGGGTCCAACGTGCCCGTGAGCCTGTTGCTCGCTGCGTCCAGCATAGTGAGCTGCGTGCAGTTGTTGAGGCTGTCGGGCAATTCCCCGTCCAGCTGGTTGCTGCGGAAGCTGAACTCTCGGAAGTTGGCCAGCTGCCCCAGGTTCTCGGGCAGGCCGCCGGTGAACTCGTTGTTGAACATGTAGAACCTCCTCAGCGCCGTCATGGCTGTCACAGCTCTGGGGAAGCCGCCACTGAAGTTGTTCCCGTCGATGAAGAGTCTTTCGAGCTGACTCCATGAAGTGGATTCCACTGTCAGAAAACTCCCATTCAGGAAGTTGGTCCCCAAGTTCAGGCAATTTAGCTCCGACAGCGACGCCAGCTCCACGGGGAACTCTCCTTCCAGGGCATTCATTCCCAAGTCCAGCGACTTGATCTTCGTCAGGTTACCGAGCTCCGATGGGATGGAGCCTGTTAAAGAGTTCGTAAGGAATTTCAGATACTCCAGATTGACGAGCTGGCCGTACTCTCTCGGAATGGGACCCATCAGAATGTTGCGGCTGAAATCCAAGTACCGCAGCTTCGTGCAATTGGCGATGGACTTGGGAATGGGGCCTATCATCTTGTTCGACCCCAGGTCCAGAACCTCGAGATCAGAGAGCAGACCCAGCTCCTCCGGAATGGACCCATAGAGAAAGTTGTCGTGGACGTTCAAGGTCTGCAGCCTCTGCAGCCGGCCCCATTCCACGGGAAGCTCGCTGAACAGGAAATTATGGCTCAGATCGAGGTCCTCGAGGTATTCGAGCTTGCCCAACGAAGGACCCAATCTACCGATCATCTTCAGCCCGGAGAAATTGAGGGAGATCACGTGCAGCTCATCGTTGCAGATGACCCTCGTCCACGAGCAGTAGGTGGAGCGATTCCCAGTTGTCCATCCAACCAAAGCGTTGTCCGTGTAGTTTTCGATTTCGGCCTTGAATTGCAGGAGCGCATCGGCCTCCCTGGGACAGTGGCAACACATTGGACTCGTATGGCGTTAGAGATGAATTTCACTCATGCTTGCGAATTGATATGCACATGCTCAGGCGAAGGACGCAAGCGACAGGTGCATAATTTTGCACGTCTGTATGAGATGATAGCTTGCTGCTAAACGTCACTGACCCGAAGCTGTCTTGGAGCAAAGTCCGAGATATTCTTCGACCCGAAGCTGTCTTGGAGCAAAGTCCGAGATATTCTTCGAGAGTGTGTAGATTCCACCAGAGAACCATGGTGAGGCTCATGACGAGTCGTTAACGAAGTGTCGACGGCTTCGTCCTGAAGTCTAAACTGCTGCAGCTCTCGCTGGCTGCTGGGACCGCCGTGTGCTTGTTGCTGGCCCATATGCGCTTCAACGGAGGCCGCCGGAGGGAGCCCATTCTCGATGTTGATGCTGCCGTGCTCTTTCCCGGCCGATCCTGCAAGTGCATTGAAATCTGGATCCTGGAGAGTCTCATCAAGAGACTCGATTCTGCTTATTTCTCTGAAGGTGGTGTCCTCTTGACGAACGGCGCAAGCACCGAGCGGGAAGCAAAATAGCACCAGAATCAACAGCATCCTGAAGCGTTTGCAGAGAGCGGGCAGATCAGTAGAGGAGACGACCGATTCCCGACCTGTAGATCCTCTGAGGAAGTGCATGGTGTCCACCTCCAGAAAAATATAAAACTCAATTCTCCATGTACCCTTCAATCTCCATGCATCCTGGAATTTGGAGACAGCTGCCTAGCCAGCAGTGAACGACGCTGAGAATTAGAGCATGATTACTTTAAAAAAGTTCAGCCGCTCCAGACTGATCTTCATACGCTAAAAGTATCATTGTCTTCTTATTTCACCAGCAACTCTGACGACTAGATCGCTAGATGACCAGACCGGCGTGTCCTCTAATCTCGAGCTCCTCCGATTCGGAAAAGACCGGCGGATGAACATCTCCTGGCTTGCTCTCCGGACGCAATGACCACCGAAGAGAAGACTCGTACTAGAGGGCGGCCGACTTTTATATCCTCTGGAGAGAGAAAGAAAGCAAGCAAGAAAGAAAGAAAGAATGGTCCTTGGTGTTCTGGATGGATGGATAGATGGATGGATAGATGGATGGACGGGTCTTTAAAAAGGATGGTGGTGGTCCTGATCACGGCAGCAGTAAGCGCAGATCATCAATAAGTACTCAAGTGAAATTCGTATTTCTGATTTATCCATTTTTTCTAATATCCCATGAAACAACGCGTGATGAATGAATAACCCAAGTATGTCAACACGGAAAGTTTGACTTGGTCTCAATACTAAAGTAGTATTTTGATAATATAGATCTTAAATAACTTCAAACGAAGATACTTAACAGTATGACTTTGTTCTCCTCAAGATTTCAGTTTTGAACTTGAACTGAACTGATCTAAGTCAAAGCTAGAAATGAGATATTCACAGTAAGAGAGCACTATAGGTCAAGAATGTGTGTTGAACAAGGCTCCGCCAACAGCATCAAAAGCGTTTTGGACGAGGCGAGGTCACCTTGAACGTAAAGTTAGCTGTTGCTGCTTCATCAAATTTTCATTGATTACTTATGTTCGAGGAGAATTTCATGACGTATAGTGCATTTCATTCTACTAAATAGAGCAACCTTGTTGTTTGAAATATTTCCACCAACAATACGTTGTACGAACGGCGAATTAAAGCATTCAGAAAACGCGCTTCGATAGAGGTTAACTAGAAGACCAAGGCCGAGCTTCAGTTGTTAGCGTTCCCAGCTGCATCCATCCCCAAAGTTCGTAATATTGAAGGCGTATTCAGATCAGCGAGACTTGTCGTGTCTTCGAGCGGCCAGATTAGTGTTTTAATAGTCAGAAGCATCTTTGAGAAGCTCTTGGACTTGATGAACTTTGGAATGCACCCGCTTCACCCAGGTGGGAAGCTTGGGAGTAAAATGCTCCAGATCGTCCGGAGAAGAATACACCAAAGCAGGATGCATCTTCAGAATGAAGTCAGAGATGTGGTATGAGGGAAGAGGCCTCGGTTGTCGAAGCGAATATCTGCAGCTGCTATGGATGTCCAAAGCAATCTTCAGAGTTTTCTGCCGTACAACGCGGTGTCGACCTTCAGACAATTTGTAGTCTCCGTACTCTTTTACTTCATGGAAGTATTCAGCTGCAATCGTGTCCAATCTCAGCTTCTCAGCGTCACATTTTAAACATTACTAAAATATATTAATCCTCTTTCAAAGGAAGTGGTTCCTGTCTTTTCATAGGAGGAAAACAGGTTCATTAACAGTCTATACACATCAAATACAAGCTCCAAGTTCTGCGAGAAGGTTCTACAACTACTTATCATTCTTGTTAAGTTTAAATGGGCTTAATAGAAACAAATTATAAAGGCTGCGATGCATTATGTTCGGCCCGTAGTGGTTTCGATCCTCAAACTTGTGGACTGATATGCATCAACGTTGTAACAAGGTACGTCTCGTAGTGAAGGTGCTCAAACATTGGAGTTTGTTTTAACATGTGGCGGGTCTCCATTCGAAGCATTTGAACGGGCTGTACTACAGTGTCTGTGACATAGGCGGAGGAGTCTCCTGATCAGGACGTCAAAGTGGATCTTGCTTGGTTGAACATGCATCAGCTTCCTGTTGACTGTCTTTCTCGTTTCCAGCTGCAGTCTTACGGAAGCGGACACTTTCTGGAAGTCAGAGCGCATTTGGAAAGCGGCCAAGTTGTGTTCAGCGAGTATATCTGAGAACCATTTCCCATTCTGATAAGTGAAAGTGTGGAACTCTCGTCGCTCGAAGTGGACACCGTCGAGACGAAGGATTCCTGAGTTCTTCAGGGAGAAGCGACTCCAGTCAAGTCTCATGGTCTCTCTCAGCGCGGTGGGGCTTGCAGGAAAGACCCCGTGGATAGGATGTGATCAATTTTTAAAAGCATTTCCATATGCTGGTTCTCTTCATACTGGAAAGATTTCTAGTGCTGCTGACTCGGTGTAATCCACAAGACTTACGTATTTTCTGCTATTTTAATCACTCCGACGTCTTCGGACCATATAGAAAACCTCGTCCCCTCTGATATAACACCCCACGACGTTATTCGTTTGGGATCTCGAGCCGCGATATAAAATACTGGAAACATCTGCAAGCTTACGATACATGCACAAGGTTGTCGCTGGTTTCACTACTCCGGGCGACATCATTCCAATCGAAGCCTCCCTTTTACAGACCGCAGTCATTTACTTTGCTCTCCCGCGGATGTCCATGAGAACGTTCTGGGATGAGTCAGTGCTTGTGCACGAGAAGGTGACTGCTCTCAGAGGAAATCATCTTCATCCTTCAAGAAATGTGAATGAACGTCTTTGCCTTCCAAGCAAAGATGAATTCGCTTCACTCGCTGATGTCCGTTTTCCTTTTGTGTCCTTTTTGTTGCACGGGTCATAGCGGTGATGTTGCGTCTCACCGCATGAAAAGGCGATCGCCTGCCACATGCAGCACAGCAAGCGGAGTCCAGTGTTCCTAGCAAAGCAGTGCGGATCTCCAGTTGGTATTTGCCGGATCATGGAGAACAACAACAGTCGCATGCGGCGTCCGAGTATGTTCTCGTAATCTTTTCAATAGACGCAGATGTGCGCCAAGGTTAGCGTAAGAAAAATGTTCCTTACCTGGAAGTACTGCGACTCTGAAACTGTCACATGGAGGGAGTCGCAGCGTGGACAGCTCTGGACGGGACGATTCCCCGCGGATCGGCTCCTTGCACCGATCAACAGCGGCAAGAAAAAAGTCCCGGACGACGAAGTCAGGGGGCGAGAATACGACAGGGCAGAGGGGATCCGGCGGGGTTCCATTAGCAGACCCCCTATTCGCTAGCGGAACCCCCCCCCCCCCCCCCCCCCCCCCCCAGGGTGGTTCTCGAAACGAACGCTCTGGTGACGGGCGGAGGGCGGGACGGTGTTTTGTCAGCAGCGGGGCTTAGCTCGAGAAATTTCCTGCCCCGGCGCGCAAGTTCGCCGCTATTGAAGCGGGCGATGTCTTCCTTTAAGAGCGTGAGCTCGACCTTTCGTGCGAGCACGCAAGCCCCTGTGAACTTTGTGCCTCGGGTTCTGTCCCGTGTACTGTGTGGTGATTTGAATTGAATTGACCTGTGGAGACGTGATGCTCTCAAGGTCTTACCTGCTCTGAGCTGCAACAGAATGGTGTAGCTGTCTGTGTGCAGCAGCAATGCGGGGGGTGACTGCAGTGATGCTGCACACATACATACACTGCTCGACCTGACACAAAACAGAACAAAACAACGAGATAAAAATCACGAGCTGAATTGAGGTCAAAGATCAGATGGAGCCTCTCCATTCTTTTCGATGGTCTTTTGTATCTGAGTTAAGGATTGCAAGTGGTTCTGATAATCTCCTCCACGCTGTGCTTGTTCTTTCCTGATACTAAAAATTAATGAATTATTTCAATACTGCAAGCTGGTCATGACTGAATATAATGACGCTTATCATATAATATGGGAACTGATAGTTCAGTCATGGAAGCTAGGTGTCGTCGTTGTTATTACATGTGATCACAATTCGCGCAAACGTGTGTCTTTCAGATCCAGGAAGAGTAATGAATTTAACCACCTTGTGTGCTCCGTTCTCAGAAAGCAACGCACGATCCCTTAGCAATGGAGCGGAGAGATGTCGGAATTCATATCTTCGGTACCAAGGAATGATTAAGAACTTATAAGATCTATTCTTTGACTGTTCAAATAGTCAAGCTCACGAGTACGCAAAAGTGACGTCGGAAACCGCAGAACACATTACAGAATAGAGTATATATCTTCAGAAACGTCCAACGGGACTGGTGGTCACAAGTTATGGTATGTTCTGAGAACATACCATAACGAGAACATTGTTCTCGTTACAGATTTGAAGTAAAATGTTGGCCTGGAGCGCAAAGAATACCCTTGCATAAGTAAATTAACGCGTAGTATAATATCGGATGATTACAATTTGTCAGCTCGAGGGTGTAGAGTTTGTGCAAAATTTGCTCCGATGAAGACTTTGCTGCGGTTTCTCTCTCAAGGCATGGATGAGCTTGTTCGTAACGTCGAAACTCCCTGTAAAGGTCAGGTCGGTGGGCGTGACGATTTTTCAAAGCAATAACTATGTTAAGAGAAGATACCGAAGTGGTCTTCGTCAGATCGCGTGACTCCCGGGCCAATTTTACATCCTCGATTCCAGTTCCTCACACAATATGGAGTGTGGCACCCCGGATTTCAGCGGTGCGCTCCAATGCTGGACACAGACGCATAACGCCACTCCCTCCTGTACGATGTGCTCCGGAATCGAGGATCCACCTCGACTCCTCTACTTTCTTCTCCATGGACGAGGAGTATATTTGCGGCTATATTTTACGGTCAGAAACAGCAGCTGTGGTGCAGACCCAAGTTACGGACAGCCGGCGTCAGATTTCCCATGATTTTAGCTATGGAACAATTCCGGCTTTTAGAAAGATGATGGGAGGAGTCTACATGAGGCTTCTTGCAAGCTGAGTAACTGGAGTACAGTAGTCAGACGGCATCACATTTCCCACGATTTTAGCTATGGAACAATA